GTATTTTATTACCATGAATTTTATTTCCCAGTTCATTTCATTTGTCTATACTGAGTACTGATAGTTCATTGAAATCTTAATTTGTGCGTAAGATTTCAATGGCTTCTGCCATGCCGTTTAGCAAAAGGGGACGTATTTTCAGCATGTTGTGTTGCACATACTAACTTTAGCGAGGTAAGCAAGGTCTTATTTTCTCACTAAAGTGTTCCTATACATTGTTCAGGCGCTCACAGAGACTGACACACGTCCGTTTAGCAGTAAAAAGTTGCTCAGTAAAATTGACTGGGGACCCGATTCTTTTTCGACAAGGATTCAATAGAATGGTTCCTGAACGTACAGAATGAGTGTAATGAGTACTGAATGATCTTTAAATATTGAACTATAGAACCGTAGTATAGTATTGATTCTATATCTATCTGTATTTATTCTCATGTTTAACATAAAAACAAAAACCATCGCGAATAAATACGAGTTTTTATCAAACAAAACCCTTCAGTCTATAGAGATAAGTTTCTCTATAAAAGCTTTTATTGTTCGCGTTCAAGTTTGTTAGTTTTTGTTTTTAGAGTTGTCTAACTTTGATTGTCTGTATTGAACTCCAGTTGTAGATTTTGTGTCTGAATTTGAATGGATCATTTTATTTTTTGTTTCTGTTCAGAGAGAGAGAGAGAGATATAGGGTTTAATATCCACTCGTTACAATCTAGGTCATTACTGGGACTAACATATTGTTCAATTTTATTTCAATAATTCGCTTGCGCGTAGAAGTCTTAAGCAGTAGGAGGAAACCGGAGGACCCGGAGAAAACCCACGAGGTTGGACAGACGACCCTAATCCTTGTCACGTACAACAGGGATTCCATTAGGGAGAGAGAGAGAGGGAGAGAAATGGGGTTTAACGTCCACTTGACACAACCTAGGTCATTTTGGGACTAACATATGGCTCAATTTTATTTCAATAATTCGCTTGCACGTGGGAGGAAACTGGAGGACCCAGTGAAATCCCACGAGGTCAGACACGCAACCCTACACCTTGTCACACACAAGCATTGAATCGAAACCACACCATTTGACTCAATGATAGACCTTATGATACAGCACACACGTTAACCAGGCGACCATCCAACCAACCTTCCTCCCTTAGGAATTTTATTTCAAATAACAACGTGGAAAGTGGTTGCTATCTACGACATACAGTACTAATTAAACCTGGTCTGGTTTTTGTAACTGGTAGATTGTACCCAGAAAGGTGGTTTAATACAATTCATTACCGGGTAATGCATCTTTTAGACTGAATCTTATCACAATGTTTTATTTCTTTAAAAATAGTCTGGTCTGATTGTTGTAGATTGTACTCTGGAATTGGTCCTTAAACTATTCTTAGACTGAATTTCACTGTCATTGAGAAAGTTATTACAAACTCTAATTTTTGTACTTTTGTTTTTCACCTCTGTATTTCATTGTATGCTGCGCTTAAAGGGTGTTTCAATGCAGTAAAATTCTATTCTACTCTCTGTATCTACAAATAAAAGTGTCATTTGACTGTCTTTTTTTGTCGCCCTGGAATTGGTCCTAAACCTATGAGGGGGGGTTGGATGGCTGAATTGTTAGCACGTGCGGGCTGTATCATACGGCCTGCCATTGAGTCAACTGGTGTGGTTTCGAATCCCCGGTTGTACGTGACAAGGAGTAGGGTCGCCTGTCCAACCTCGTGGGTTTTCTCCGGGTCCTCCGGTTTCCTCCCACTGCTAAAGACCCCTATGCGTAAGCGAATTAATGAAATAAAATAAACCATATGTTAGTCCCGAAATGACCTAGTTTGTGTCAAGTGGACATTAAACTCCATTTCCCTCCCTTCCCTTAAACCTTCAGACTTGATTCCATTGCCGATTTATTACAAGCTCTCTGTACTGGCTTTATCTACAAATAGGAGCCACGGTGGCTAAGTGGGTAAGACGCTGGCTCGCTAGCCTGGAGGTCGCATTGGCCGAGAAAGTTCATCAGGCTTTTCCGACGTGGTTTCCCCTTGTCAGTGGTGCAGGACAGAGGGCCCGACAAAGACAGCTGTCTAGCCGTTCAGATGGGATGAATAACAGAGGTCCCGTGTATACATTGGCGTGTGCGTAAAAGATCCCTTGGCAGTTGGAATTCGAGATATAAGAGTAGGCTATAGTGCCACTGCCCGGGCAAATTTCCCTCATAGCACACTGTATGGCATATGCCCGTCTTCATAAGCCCAGTCGGAGCAGAACAGTATACATGAAACCCCATTTCATTTCATTTCATTTCATTTATCTACAAATGAAAGTGTCTTTTTTGTTGCCATTATAAAGTAGATTGCACCCTGGAATTGATCCTAAACCCATTTGGTTCAGACTGATTTCCACTGACGATGAGACAATATTTATTACAAACAGCACTTGCTTTATCTTTAAAGAAAAATAATTCTACACGGATTCAGACAGATAGTTCTCACAGTTAACAACATGCCTTGTTGCTTTATCTACATTCACAAACTTGACACACAAAATCTGGTTTCTATCAAAGTAAGAAACGCATCTAAGTGTAAAATTTCTACAAAGGAATATGTTGTCTTTGAGAGGATGAAGATCTGTCTGTTCTGTCATGTTGGTGATAAGTGTTGTCTGTATGGTGTCAGTTTACAGGTAATAGGTAGATGATGATCTATACAGGTATGTTACCTGTCTGTACTTCAAGATCTTACAATAAGATAATAACAAACTTTTATACAAATTGTAGCAAAGTAAAAGGTCGTTTACACACTTATTTTTAAACTAGAGTTGTGTTGTGTTCACAATTCACACATACTATAAGCTAAATCAATTTAACTATTTCGACCTCGTGGGTTAAATGTTTCAGTTAACTTATACGTATGTGCACATGTCAACATTTACCAGGAGGTAACTTACTGTACATGGGCAACCTGTTCAGACAGCCAAGAAACTGGTTTATTTTTTCCACATTTGCGTTCAGACGACAAAGTTAAACTGATTATAACGATTGCCAGAGTTTTTAAACCAGTTTAATTTGAGCATTTGAATGGACTATTAGATAAGAATTGTATTCATTATGGGTTAGGAGGTGGGGGGAATGGTTGTGCGTGCACACTGTATCAAAAGGTTGGTTTCGATGCCCTGGTTGTACGTGACAAGGAGTAGGGTCGCCTATCCAACCTCATGGGTTTTCCACGGGTCCTCCAATTTCCTCCCACTGCTAAAGACCCCTATGTGCAAGCGAATTATTGAAATAGAATTGAACAACATGTTAGTCCTGAAATGACCTAGTTTGTGTCGAGTGGACGTTAAACCCCATTTCTCTGTCACTCCATTATGGGTTCACTAAAAAGAAGGAATAAGGTTAGAGGCCTCCCTTTTGTATTTGAATGCATAAAAAGAAAGTAAAATGGAGTTTAACATCCACTTGACACATGCATAATGAATGTTGAGTGTTTTGCACCTGAATTGTTAATCCATATAAAGATATGCTTTATGTAAAGTAAGTTATTTAAGCTGTTATCTAAACTGTAACAAGTATGAAGTACTACATAAAACCCCATTTATAACCAGCTTACTCTGCAAATCCACATATTTTAAACAATTTTATTACACTTAAAATTCCAGGAGTTTTCCAGGAGTTATTTACCAGATTCCAGGAGTCCCTGTATAGAATTCTACATCATAATGTATTTTTTTTACTCTTGATGAACATTTACCGTGACGAACTTGTGAACTTTTGAAGAGACATTGATGACTTCGTTCAGTTTTATTTCTTCAAATTATAGCGAAACCACATATGTTAATTTTCCAGGCGTTTCAAGGAGTAATCTTGTTCTTCCAAAATTTTCCAGTACTGGAAATCACATTTTCATTTTTCCAGGATTTTCAAGGAGTTTAAAAGTAGTGTGCAAAACATGGAATCGAAACATACTAGTTGACTCAATGACAGACCTTATGATACAGCGAGCACGTGCTAAGCATTCAGCCACCCAACCCCCCTACTCTGTTTGAATATCATTGTTGTAGAATTAGATTATAAATCGGAAATATGAATAAAGAGAGAGAGAAATGGGGTTTAACGTCCACTCAACACAAACTAGGTCATTTCGGGACTAACATGTGATTTAATTTTATTTCAATAATTTGCTTTCGCGTAGGGGTCTTTAGCAGTGGGAGGAAACCAGAGGACCCGGAGAAAACCCACGAGGTTGGACAGGCGACCCTACTCCTTGTCACGTACAACCGGGGATTTGAATATGAATAAAGACATTAATCAATCTTCTTCAATTTACCTGTAAATACCATTGTTAAACCGGTATGATTGTAGGTACAGATGTCTTCAAAACAGAGAACTGATCTTATCTGAAATCTCAATCAAAACATTCTACCCACTTATCCTTTTTTGATAGATGGTTTAAAATGCCCTCCTGCCCTGCAGGTCATTAAAAGACTTGATGATCTTATCATAATCTTCACAGAAACCCTGACACACAACCCCTAGAACTTGATCTGTTCACGGTTATCAATTCATTGTGGATGATCGGGGCCCTTTTAATAAATACTGGTAAATGTCTGTCTGTCTGTGTCTGTCTGTCTAATAGTAACGCTTTATAATATGTCACTAAGCATCTTTTATTTTCTGTGATTACATACTTTTCATTATTCTGCATGTCTTTTATGGAACAATCTGCCTTTTGACATAAAGATGTGTAAAATGATGAAAATCTTAAGATTAAACTGAAAACTCATTTATATTGAGCACTGAAGAAACCATAATATTCAAGTGATGACATACTTATTATTGTTCATGTTAGTAAGTTACCCCTAAACTACAAAACATATATACGTAAAATATAGGAAGAACACAATAATTACACACAAAATAAGATAGAATGCAGTTGCAAGTTAAATATACATCGTCCCAACAAGAAGATGATTACCAAATGTATGGAACTAGTTCCTGGTTATAAAAATCCAAAACTTACCATCCGGAAGATCGGCCATATCGTCTTGGTATATAATACTGCCATAACGTAAAACAAACACTAAACGGTCTTTATCAGGTCCCTCGTCTCGTAACAAATGATATACATTAACCCCTTCTGATAATATATGTTCTGAAATAATAAATATTCTGGTATTAATTCATAAAAAACATAAATATAAGTTCTGTAATTATAAATGGTCTGTTATTACAAGTTCTATAATTATAAATGGAAATGAAATGAAATGAAATTGGGTTTAACGTGCTACTGTTCTGCTCCTATACTGGGCTAATGAAGACAGGCATACGCCATTCAGTGTGCTATGAGAGAAATTTAGCCCCGACAGTGGTGCTATGACCTACTCTTATATCAAATTCCAACTGTCTGTTATTACAAGTTCTGTAATTATAAATGGCCTGATATTACAAGTTCTGTAATTATAAATGGCCTGATATCACAAGTTCTGAAATTATAAATGGCCTGATATTACAAGTTCTGAAATTATAAATGGCCTGATATTACAAGTTCTGAAATTATAAATGGCCTGATATTACAAGTTCTGAAATTATAAATGGCCTGATATTAAAAGTTATGTAATTATAAACATAGGCGTACGAGCTGGGGGGGCTGGGGGTGCAGCCGCCCCCTCATTTTGGGCACCAAATGCTAGGAAAATTTGGGCACACAATTTTATTTTGTAAAAGTTGTATAAAAAAAGGATATTGTGTTCTTGAATGTGTCCAATTTAACAGCGAATTTATTATTATTATGTAACATACTAAGAACCAAACTACATTTTTTGGGCCCCCCCAAGTAAAAAATTTCCCCGTACGCCTACGATTATAAATGGCCCGATATTACAGGTTCTGAATGAAATTATAAATGGCCTGATATTAAAAGTTCTGTAATTATAAATGGCCCGATATATCTTATGGACTAATATTATGATTTCTAAAATTTTATAAAATATTTAGGCCAATATTGCATTTTCTGATCAACACAATATTTCTGGTAAACACCAACTGATATTTATGTACCTGTCACCCAGGTTGTAGTCTGTTGCTTGTGATGGTTGGATTGGGGAGGTATTGTAAATTGAATGTATTGAGAATTTATTCAGTAATTGATTTTTATATGTAAAACTGCTTGTGCGTAGGTGTCTTTAGCAGTGGGAGGAAAACTGAGGAAACCCACAAGTTAGCCAGACAACCACACTCCTTGTAACTTGATTCAATGACAGACCTTATGATCTAAAGCGCATGTGTTAGACCACTCAGCCAACATTCTTGGGGTTATAGGGAGCCGTGGTGGCTCTGTGAGTAAGATGCTGGCTCACTAACCAAGAGATCTGGGGTTCAATCCCAGAGTTGGTTGAGAAAGTTCCAGCTTGGTTTCCCTTTGTCAGTGTTACAGGATGGAGAGTCTTGCAGTGATAGTTGATGGAGAGCCTGGCAGCGATAGTGTATAGTCATAAGGATGGGACAAAAAAACGAGTTACTGCGTACAAGTTGGCATGCACGCAAAAAAAACCCATGACAGTTGGAATTCAACAGAAAAGTAGGCCATAGGGCCACTGTCAATGCAAAATTTCTCTCAAAGCACACTGTATGGCGTAAGTTTCCATTAGCCCAGTTGGTGCAGAAAAGTAGGACGTTAAACCCCATTCATTTCATTTCATTTCCACTGGTTATAAGGCCGCTGTCAAGGCAACATTTCTCTCAAAGCACACTGTATGGTGTAAGTTTCCATTAGCCCACTGGTTATAAACTAACCTGTATTATATTTAATAATGACCATATAGCAGATCTCTCTACCAGGTTCTTTAACACATTCTATTATATCTCGACATGATGTATTGGGTGTTATTGGTACCTCCACATAATTACTACCAATATCTTCTATATATACCCTTAATATAACCTGAAAATATATAATAATAAATACAATAGATTCATTTCTTGTCAACCTGAATACAATCTGATTAAAACTCAGATCCTACTTCGTTTCGTTTTTTTATGGTTTAAAATTTCGTTTTACTTGTCTTCACAACACTAGGATCTGGAAGAGTTGTTGTATAACCCGCGTTCTGGTTGAAGTGAGTGTTTAACCAATAAAACAGTCTGTTACGGTGAGTTCTTGGCATGCGATGCACACAACTGTGGGTAAACCACTAAGAACATCAATGCTGATTGATTAATCAAAGCCTGACGTCATAGGGTCAAAAGCTGCTGGTATGACCTCTGACGCGATCTTCTACTACAACTGGTCAGATCTTCATGAAGTGTTGGCCATCGAAAGCATAAAAAAAAAAAACGAAATATAGATCTGTATTTTAATCAGATTGACCTAGATAGTGGTTATAACCTCTGACATAATTTCATGTCACTTTACAAATATAACCTGCAATATAAAACAACAATAATTACAATCATTTCAAGTCACCTTAAAACCTCTGTGGTTAGAAACTCGAGTAAACTGCAAATTAATAATATTCTCAATTGTGATTTTCACTGACGGTATGATGTATCATAAAATGGTGTTTTACAAAGTGTGTATCATAAAACAGTGCATAATAAGGTGTGTATCATAAAAATGTGTATCATAAGTATCTACCATAAAATCATGCATTAAAAGAGCATATTAAAAAATGTGTATCATAAAAATGTGCATTAAAAAGTGTATATCATAAAACTGAGTATTACAAAATGTGTATTATAAAACTGTGCATTACAAAGTGTGTATTATAAAGCTGTATATAATACAGTGAGTATTATAAAGCTGTGTATTACAAAAAATAGATTTTAAATTCTGTATTACAAAGTGTGTATTGTAAACCTGTATATTTATTATAAAATGTGAATTATAAAACTCTGTATTACAAAATGTGTATTATAAATGTGTGTGTTACAAGGTGTGAATTACAAAACTGTATATTACAAAATATGTATTATACAGCTGTGTATATAACATAATAGTGTATTACAAAGTGTGATTTACAAAAATGTGTATTATACAGCTGTGTATATAAAATAATAGTGTATTATAAAGTGTGTTTACAAAACTGTGTATTATAGTGCTGTGTATATAACATAATAGTGTATGGTATTACAAATTGTGATTTACAAAACTGTGTATTACAAAATGTGTATTATAGCGCTGTGTATATATTATAATAGAAATACATATTTTACATGTTTCACATACATATTTAAACATGCATTATGCAAGAGCAAAATCTGCTTATTACAAGTCTTTCTTTAGGCCTGAAATGTTATCTAAATTATCAATTAGAAAAAATTAACTTATCCAGACCATAATAAACTCTCGATGTTAAGGCTAGCCTTCGATGTTGGCTGGATTAGATTCCTATATGCCGCTAACGGCCAGTGATAATTAAATCAATAAAAGTGGATAATCGAGACTATGCTGTTTATATTAATGATTTTAGTAATGATGACCGAGACTATGCAAAAATTTCACCTGCATCTTTCTCGGCTCATAGTGGATCAATTTGACTGAAATTTTCAGCAAATTACCTTTACACTATCTAGTTTTTAACTATTATAGTGAGAACTGCCATCTCTTTATCTTATCTCCCATAATGTATCTTTAATGTCTATCCTCCATTTTAAAATATTGTTAACCTACATCTATTGACTCACCCAAAAATATAATAATCCCAGAGACAATAAAACAATAAATCAGATGTAATTCGTGTACCAGTGTCCTGTTATCTTGACAAAACTGAACACAGGAAGGTGTAATGTAGCTGGTATTACAGGCATATTTATAACCCCTACTACATGTACCGGTATATACTATACAAGATGAGTACAGGAAGGTCTTACGTAGCTGGTATTAGGGTATATTTATAAGCCTACTACATGTATATACTATACAAGATGAGGAGTAGTACCAGATGAAGGGGAGTATAAAATAATAAATCACTTGTTAATGACTATAGATTGTTATTTTCACATATCAATGAGATATACAACTGTTATAGACATTTATTATTGACATAAAGTTATTATAAAAACATACACAGGGATCATGTTATTCTCATCATTCCACATTACAATTTACTTACACACGAAGAAGAAACTACTGCATACAAAGTAGGGGGAAGGAAGTGGGGTATAATGTCAGAGAGAGAGAGAGGTTTAACAAAAACTAGGTCATTTCGGGACTAACACATGGTTCAGTTTTATTTCAATAATTCACTTGCAAGTAGGGATCATTTTATTCTCATCATTCCACATAACACTCTACTTACAGATGAAATAGGGTTTAACGTCCTACTGTTCTGCTCCTAAACTGGGCTAATGAAGACAGGCATACGCCATACAGTGGGCAATGAGGGAAATTTTGTCCGGGCAGCGGCACTACGGCCTACTCTTATATCGAAATCCAACTGCCAAGGGATCTTTTACGTGCACACCAATATGTACGCGGGGCCTCGGTTTTTCGTTCCATCCGAACGACTAGACAGCTGTCCTTGTCAGGCCCTCCATCCTGCATCACTGACAAGGGGAAACCACGCCGGAAAATCTGGATGAACTTTCTCGGCCAATGCAGGGATCGAACAAACGACCTCCAGGCTAGCGAGCCAGCGTCTTACGCACTTAGCCACATGATCCCCCGAATTTTGTATGGATTATCAGTGCCATTAAATCTATTTTATTTTCAAAGTAACATCTCTTTAAACCTGTCTGTAGATAAATGGCAGGAAATAAATTAATATCCAACTCGATGATAAGTTTCATTCGTGTAATAGCTCGCAAAGCTCCTATGTTCTTTGACCAAAAAGTGATCTAAACTTTAATTGAAGCCATTACATGCCTAATTTGAGGTCAGGAGATAGTAGTTGGAGGTCAGGAGTTGCTAATTTGGAGAATGTCAACTTCTAAAGTCAAAACATATAACATGTCTATCAAGATCTTCCACTTGGCTGCTCAAATTATCTGAGAACGTTAGGCTGAATTTCTCTCTTTCTGATACTGGGTACTTGTCTCCTGGGATTCTCAGTTTATCATTATCATATGAATTAAAGAATCCCCGCTCAACAGTAGCACAACAGAATTGGTAGAAGTGAAGATTGTTTAAAGATGGGTTCCCAGAAAAGTATTTATCGGGTGGTTATTTCCAATAAAAGTATGGCAATTTTGGTATATATGGAAAGTAGAGATATCCAATCTTACTACAAAAATACTGGATTCCCCAAAAAACACTCATGGAGCGTATACAGGACAAAAATGTAAGGGTTCCCCTAATCAACAGCCCGACGATTATGACCTTCTGCACGCACGATGTCAAAGGTCACAAGCGAACATTGAGCGCTTGATGTACAAGTTGATAAACTTTATGAAGAGTTAGACGTACAATACTTTCTGAGATAAAAATGACGGAAAAAGACGCGGGTAGTGGATAATCCGAGAATTTAATTAGGATTCGATATTTGTAATAAATAGTAAGCGATTAAAGACAACATCGTCTTATGTATGCAATGAATTCTCCTCTGACTCCCAAGACCTGACGTAAACATGACCTGGTTTGATCGAATTTTAATAGCAGGGCATTCCTTCGCAATTACAATGTTTGAGAAGGATTTGAAGCATAATTATGACAAATTAATTAGTTTGAATATGTTTTTGGTCTATATATACCATTAAATCACCCAGTTTGTTCGCGGGAACCCATCTTTAATGAATAACTTTTCGGGTTTCAGGTTGTGATACCCTTTTTCAAATAACAAACAGATGTATCAGCCTGTCCAGCTTTAGTCACCTTGTTAAAGGAGTATTGCCGTCCCTCTTCTCGTATCCAGTCTATTATTATCATAACATTTCAGGGGGGAGAGAGAGAGAGAGAGAGAGAGAGATGGGATTTAACGTCCACTCGACACAAACTAGGTCACTTCGGGACTAACTCATGGTTTAATTTTATTTCAATAATTCGCTTGCGAGTAAGGGTCTTTCGCACATGCTAACCATTCGGCCATCCAACCCCCCTGCAAACGGGGAACGCCGAAAAATAGAGATGATGTGACTTAATGATCGTGATTCGTTTATTTCCTGCATATTTTTTATTCTGCTGTAAAAATTAGAACTACATGAGATTTTACAACGAAATGACGAAATACCATGTGCTGATATACGTGGGAGGTATCTTAGTTTAAATACCATCTATTTTCTGTTAATTCATCATCAAACACAGGATCTTCAAATGTCAATACAAAGGAAGCTTAGACTTTCCCACAACAGAACATAGTCATTTATTATATAATAAGGTCATATTCAGACGGTAGCACATATTTTTTTTCTTCACACCCTAGTTATTTTTGATAACAATCAAGAATAGGATTGACTATAATATGTAAAGAGAAATTCTTTCACTGTGTAAATAGCAGACAGTATAATAGCCTTTTTACCTATACACTATTCGTATTCATACTCAAGCTATATATAGTTTTATTCAACAGAAATAATGTACAAGCGGTTTCCATGAAAGATATGCTTTTGAGTGCCATTTGTAATGAAGCGAGTTGATGGACGAAGCTAAACATATCCCACAGGAGAATACTACCGATGTGGACTGGAACAACCAGACGCCAAAGACTCCCATTCAATTTAAACATGTCGCATATTTCGACAAACAGAACTGATTAGAAATTACAGTAAAAACAGAAACGACTGAATGTAAATCAGTTTATATACATTCATATTACATTATTATATTCGTTGCCATCCATTTGTGTCAAATTCTAGGTCCCAAAGAGATTTAGCTCCTTTAAAAACCTATTTCATTCATTTATTTATAAGGTGAGAGGATAACATGAGTTAAATGCGATCTGTGGAATGATAAAGACCTATAATACACTGTGAGATGATAAAGACCTATAATACACTGTGAGATGATAAAGACCTATAATACACTATGAGATGATAAAGACCTATAATACACTATGGGATGATAAAGACCTATAATACACTATGGGATGATAAAGACCTATAATACACTATGAGATGATAAAGACCTATAATACACTATGGGATGATAAAGACCTATAATACACTATGGGATGATAAAGACCTATAATACACTATGGGATGATAAAGACCTATAATACACTGTGGGATGATAAAGACCTATAATACACTGCATACTGAGTCAATAAAACAAGAGATAATTGCATTAAAATATAGTCCTTGGAAATCATATATTTGGAAAGAGAGAGAGAAATGGGGTTTAACGTCCACTCGACACAAACTAGGTCATTTCGGGACTAACATATGGTTTAATCTTATTTACATAATTCGCTTGGGCGTAGGGGTCTTTAGCAGTGGGAGGAAACTGGAGGACCCGGAGAGAAAACCCACAAGGTTGGACAGGCGACCCTACTCCTTGCCACGTTCAACCGGGGATTCGAAACCACGCCAGTCGACTCAATGACAGACTTTATGATACAGCGCGCGCGCACGCTAACCATTCAGCCATCCAACCCCCCCTTATATTTGGAAGTGTACTACCAGAATAACATATATGTAGAACCTCTTTGAGCAGCATTTAGTAATTGAACAATAACACAATAAAAACTATTTAGGAAATAACATAATACATTAACTATGCAACATTTCAAGAGTTTGAGAGAGTTCGCGAGAGAGTCCACTTGACACAAATTTCTGGACTAACATATGGTTCAACTTTATTTCACTAAAATTCGCTTGCGGTGGGAGGAAACCGGAGGACCCAGAGAAAACCCACATGGTCAGACAGGTGACCCTAACCCTTGTCACATTCAAGCAGGGTATCGAAACCATGCCACATGAATCAATGACAGACCTTGTGATTTCATGTGCACGTGTTGAACCACTAGACCACCCAACCCCTCTAAATGATGGCCTACATTATGTCGGAATCAAATTAATATTAGAGAAAGCAAACTATCTTGAACAATCTTCACCAGACTAACAAATATGTACAAGCTATTAAGACTAAGTAAAAGAGCCATTTCATCCAAGAATCATTCTAAGAATACCTTACTGACATACTGACATGCACCGTACTGACAGATCTTCTTAACGCAGCAATTAATTCAAACTTACCAAATTTTCTGCCGGGGTTGATACCAGAATAAAATACATTGGTAGAACAATACATATCTCTCTTTACGATACTTATGGTATAATAGTTACACAACATGAAAGTCTATATTACTTTTGTCGAAATGTATAACTTTTTTTATAAACTATAACGGTGTTGTATAATTTCCATGGCATATTTTTCTTTACGCTACTTGTTGTACAATAGTTACTGGTACACAACACAGAAGTCTATATTACTTTTGTCGAAATGCCTAACTTTTTCTGTACACTGTAACGGTATTGTACAATTTCCACGCCATATCTTTTTTTTCTTACGATACTTGTGGTACACGGAAGTCTATATTATTATTACTGAAATGCATAACTCTCTCGGTATCCTATAACACAGTATTGTATAATTTCCATGGCATATCTCTCTTTACGATACTTCTGGTACAATAGTTACACAACATGGAAGTCTACATTACTTTTGTCGAAATGCTTAATATTTTTTATAAACTATAACACCATTGTGTAATTTCCATGGCATATCTTTGTTTACAATACTTAGAGCATAAGTTACATAACACGGAAGTCTACATTACTTTCGTTGAAACGCTTAACTCTTCTGTACACAATAACACATTTATTGTTTAATTTCCACAGCAGTCGGTTGGTAATATTGTAGTTATTTTGGTATAATGTACGCAAAACGTGCATCACATAAAAACACAGAAATATTCCAAATTACAACATAAATCACATCAGCAGTTTTTCACTTATAAAAAGTTGCAGAAATATTTACTGCAACGGATCTTACTGGATTTAAACATCCATTACTGGTAGTAAAAACTTACACATGCAATGAAATGTTTTGCACAAAAATGTAATAATACTTGAACAGAGATTCATCACGCGAAGTTCAACAAAAAATTACAGAAATACTTGTTACATAACATAGTAAATCTATTAACGGCAACTAGATTTAGCTGGATTTAAATATCAATTATTAATTACTCAAGAGTTTTAAGCATTTATATAAACAATGCATGAAAATATATCACAATTTAAATTTTTTCGTCATCTTTGGTTATATGAAACGTTATTGAAATACTCTTTGCACAACATAGTAAGTCTATTCACTGCAACTAGATTTAGCTGGATTTTAATATCAATTAATAAAACCTCATGTTTTAAACATTTATATACACAATACACAAAAATGTCACAACTTGAACAGATTTTTTTTATCCTTGGTTCTATGAAATGTTACTGAAACACTCGCTTGCACAACATAGTAAGTCTACAATGCATAAAAATGTCACAACTTGAACAGATTTTCGTTTTCCTTGGTTCTATGAAATGTTACTGAAACACTCGCTTGCACAACATAGTAAGTCTACAATGCATAAAAATGTCACAACTCCACCCGATTTTCGTTATCCTTAGTTCTCTGAAAAGTTATAGAAATACTCCTTGCATAACACTATATGTTTAGATCTATTAGCATTAAAAGAAAATTAATAAATGATCAAGAATTATATAGATTTACGTACACCCACAATGTAATTATACGCACTGACAGATCTGTTGTATGGTAATACAAAAAGTTACCGAGATATTTCTAGCACAACAACGTAGGTGGATTAAATATGAATCAGTAAATATTTATGTGTAAGTTACAATACAGCCGTATGCACTTAATACATGGACAACATTAATTCTATAAGCTTCTTCATTAACTGTTATACATTATATACTGTAGGTGTCTCGTTCAACTTGACACACGACTCATCTAATCGACACAAATTAAATATCAATACATATTGTGAATCTTATAACACAGAGAGACATAGAAATGGGATTTAACGTCCACTCCACACAAACTAGGTTATTTCGGGACTAACATATGGTTCAATTTTATTTCAATAATTTACTTGTGTGTAGGTGTCTTTAGCAGTGGGAGGAAACCGGAGGACCAGCAGAAAACCAACGAGGTTGGACAGGCTACCCTACTACTTGTCACGTACAACTGGGGAATCCAAACCACACCAGTTGACTAAATGACAGACCTAATGATGCAAAGTGTACGCACTAACCATACGGCAATCCAACCCCTCAATCAAATAACAAAATTTAAATAATAGTTCCTGGGAGAATAACGAATTATAAATAATCCTTGCTGGGAGAATAAATTCACATAGTAGTTATAAATATTCCTGTATAATTCACATGATTATGACATGTAATCATATAATATACTATAAATGCCTTGTACAACTTTACACAATGCTCAACTGATCCACACAAAATATGAATTAAATAACAACAAATAAATAATACTTTCTGGGAGAATATATTCACATAGTAGTTATAAATATTCCTAGATAATTCACACAATTATGACTTGCAAACCAATAAAGTTCACATACATCATTAATGCCAGATATTCATCTACAAAGCATACATTGTAATTCAGCTATCACACACAGTGTCTGTTCAAACTTTAAAATTAAATATTGCTAATACTTCAACACACTTCAAGTGAATCAATCCACGTCAATGCAAATATCAACTCGACAACAAAGAGATACAAAAAATTCAATTCATAGAAGGATGTATCATATACATATCTGTAGATATAAGCACGTTTAAAAATTGATTCGAGTGAGTTCGGTAAAAAATATATAAAATAAACAGCTCCGTCTTAATTTTAACATAAATAGAATTAGAAAAAAATTAATAATTGTCCATAAAAAATGGTATTATATCTTGAAGGTGGTTCTGGCTGAAATAAACACATAAGACTCATCCAAGTTATTCCGCGTGAGTTCAGTAAAAAACATATAAAATATAACAGTCCAGTCTTAATTTTAACACAGATAGAATTAGAAAAAAATGAAATAACTGTCCATAAAAAATGGTATTAGATAGCTTGAAGGTTCGGACCGAAATAAAATCATTAGGCTCATCTAAATTAATTATCATAAATGTGAGGTCAATAGGTCAGTCAGTGGGGCTTAACATCCCCTTGCACCTAGGGTGATATCACAGACAAGGTACTTTCACACTCATTTTATAGTGAGTAAAGGTAGGAAATAAAAATATTATTGCTTAATGGTTCTGACCAAAATAAAATGATTATTTCCATTCAAATTATTTATCATATACATTTTACAGCAGGTATATAGGTAGGAAAGTATATCGGTAGGTAATAGTTTACAGGTAATAGCTTACAGGTAATAGCTTATAGGTTCTAGTGAATAGGTAATTAAATATTTATATCTATGTATGTATAAAGGTGTGTGAACTGCCAGCAGGACTAAATTCAATCAGATCGTTTATCCTTATATCACACCTGTATAGATCTACTCTCACAGGTATATTACAATATGCTATATACTACAATATCTGCCCTCAGGTAGTGTATTATTACAATAAGTAGGTATATTATAATATGTAGGCATACAATACGTAGGTATATTACAATATCTTTTATTATTACAATGGTGGGATCATGGTGGGTAAGACGCTGGCTCACTAGCCTGGAAATCAGGTGTTTGATCCCTGCATTGGCCAAGGGAGAGAGGGGACAGAGAGAGAGAGAGAGAAAGAGAGAGAGAGAAAGAGAGAGAGAGCGGGGGGGGGGTACACTTGACACAATCTAGGTCATTTCAGGACTAACATTTTATTTCATTAATTCACTTGCACGTAGGGTTCTTTAGTAGAGTGAGGAAACCGGAGGACCCGCAGAAAATGCATGAGGTTGGACAAGCGACCCTACTCCTTGTCATGTACAAACGGGGAATTGAAACCAAGCCAGTTGACTCAATGACAGATCTTATGATACAACGTGCACGCGCTAACCATTCGTCCAGACTCTATATCTTATGCTCTACGTATGTGTGGCTAATGAATGAAATGAATCAATCTCCTTAATATGATATAAATCTCCTTGTTTAAACTGGAAGAGCGACTTTTGCGATTTAAAGACGGCTCACCAACCCAATATAGAAAACAATGACTGTAGCTTAATATAACACTACTGACTGGGTTGGCTTAAAATAGCCAACTTATTTCTTTTTTTCACATGCACTTTTCATCACTTTGTGGGGAAAATGAGAGGCTGCCTGTACCATATTATATATAGCATAATTAATTATAACATATGACGGAAAAAAGTCAGAATAGTTAAGCTGTTTTGGCTAATAGTCTCCCCTTAAAATCATCAGCTTTGCATATTTTGATGTCTGAAGAGAGAGAGAGAGAGAGAGAGAGAGGGGGGGGGGGTGTTAACATCAACACAACACAAACTATGTCATTTTGGGACTAACATATAATAAAGTTTATTTTAATAATTTGCTGAGGTCTTTAGTAGTTTGAGGAAACGGATGCCTAGATGCAAAACTTAAATATTTGGAACTAAAAACTTTTGAAAAGAGCTGCAAAGTATTTTTTCCTGCCAACATCTATTATACTACTATGTATATGACAGCCTGATCCCTATTATATATCTAGATCATGGCTTGTTATTTTAGGCAGTGTCAAAGTTCATACAACAGATATTCCACCCAATTAAAGGATTTCATACCTGCTAATTCATGTTGATGCATAAAAAATTGGCAAGAAGTAGCAAATGAATATTGTATGCCTAGATATGTTGTCAGACAGAGTATGAAATATATAATGATGTTATTGTTGATAACAGGAACAGAATTAGTAAACGGTCAATTTAACGGCCTGAAGGTGAATGAAACTTGAGTCAAGATAATGATGTCAACATCCTTGAATCATCTCCATGGGAGGGAATCTGTAAGATGAGAAGGGTCGAAACATTTGGATTACCTTGGAAAAAATCATCAAAATACTGATATTTAAAGAAGAATTATGTCAGCGCTAAACTTGCCTGGTGTTTTTCTGGCTTAAAATGTTATATTAAATTCTTATTTTGACATTATTCACATGACAAACCCATAATCAACTCTCTAGACTATTGGATGGCTTAGATATTGGGTGGTTTAGACAGTGGCCACCATATCTGTATTAAACATGAAGACTGTTGATTAAAGATACATTATGGGAGATAAGATAAAGAGATGGCAGTTCTCGCTATAATAGTTAAAAACTAGATAGTGTAAAGGTAATTTGCTGAAAATTTCAGTCAAATTGATCCACTATGAGCTGAGAAAGAAGCGGGTGAAATTGTTGCATAGTCTCGGTCATCATTACTAAAATCATTAATATAAACAGCATAGTCTCGATTATCCACTTTTTTTGATTTAATTATCAATGGCCATTAGCTGCATATAGGAATATAATCCAGCCAACATCGAAGGCTAGCCTTGACATCGAGAGTTTATTATGGTCTGGATAAGTTAATTAATGTCTAATTGATAATTTAGATAACATTTCAGGCCTAAAGAAAGACTTGTAATAAGCAGATTTTGCTCTTGCATAATGCATGTTTAAAGGATTGACAGTTTATTATATTTCAAGAGGAATTATTCCAGAGCTAAACTTTCCTGGGTGTTTTTTTTCTGGCTTCAAATGTTATATAGATTATTACTTAGACATTTTTTTAACAGGACAACCCAATAGACGTCTCAATCGAAATGCAATCTCTAGCATGTTTATTCCAGTCTATTGCGCATACTCTCCAGATAAGACAATGGCGTCACCGTTTGACATGACTTATGGAATACGTCGAGTCTCGTTCTTTGAGTCCCTTGTTACAAATGATGCTGAAGCGCACTATGGTACACGATTCGAGTACCAATAGTAAAATGTTTATTTTGTCTTAAATATTGGATATCAGAAGCCTATCTTTTCCCGGTAAGATCACAAGATCATTGTTGATTTCAATTGACAAATAATTCGTGTTTTCAATGTCCAAGACATCGGATGATATTGAGTTAG